ATGTGCACGGTAGGTAGCGTTGCGTAGTGGTTAAGAGTATATCAGCCCTAGTGGATTAGAATCCAATGCGTGTGACCTTTTTTTTGCCTCCTATCCTCTTGGAATGGTTGAGATGAGAGGATGGGTGGGATGACCTCAGATGTCATTCAAAGACATCTCTTAATTTTGTCCTCAGGACTAGAAAGTCACAGGTAGGTGCAGGGGAAGATGCAAGAGATGCAAGAGTCTTGAGGCCCCTTCTGCAGATGTGAAAGCTGGTGCACCCTATCTCAGGATCTCCCCGCCCTAGGGTGTGAAGCCAAAATGAACTCATTGCATTTGACAGATGGTCCACGGAGATGAGATAAGTGGGTGTCAGGCAGGGGGAAGGAGGTGTCAACCGCAGAGCAGAGTGAGGTGAGAGCATGGAGCTCCCCACCCTTAACCCTGTCCAGAGTCATAGCCCACATTGCTGCTTAACCCTCTAAACCAATGACAGTCCCAGATCCCCTCCTGACCAGGATTCCTTACCTGCTGTCCTAAAGTATTCATGCAACAGAGCTCCAGGACCCATGAACTGAGCCAGCCTGGAGCTCACCTGGCTGGCCTCAAGGTTGGAGGTGGCCATGGTTGTGGATTGAAGCTTTTGAGGTTTTTAAAGAGGAAGTGGGGCATTTCCTGTGGTTCCATTGTTTCTCCCTCTTACTGCCTGAGCCAGCCCTACACCCCTGGCTCTACTTTGCTTCCCAAAGTAGAGTGTGCCTGTTCTACTAATAATAAGTCCTGAGACTTGCATCCCACTTTCTATTTCAGCAGCATCCAACAAGCCTGTTGGTTTCCAAGGTCTAGGTCATATTCCCATGGGCTATAATCCCAGCGACTAGTCCAATGCCTGAGACATAGTTCTCATAGTCCTGAAGGGAATCCAGACTCTACTGTACCTCACTTGTGGCTCTTTTTACCTCTTCAAGGTGCCCTTCTAGCAATTCTTCCTTGAGCTCTCCTTCCTCTCTGGGACATGGCATTCCCAACCTGGGTCATGTGATCTTGAGTCAGTCACTTTCTTTCTCGGAGTTTCAGTTTTCTTGCCTGTAAAACAGGAATAAAAGCATTCATCTTGGAGGCTCATTGTGCTGATTGAGTTGAGCAAAACATGTCGAAATGCTTTGCAGGGTTCCTGGCACATGGTAAGTGCCCAAATGCCAAAAGCTATAATTACTGTGGTGTGAGGACTGGCGTGGGGGCAGGACAACATTGGGTGAGTGCGGTGGTCTCCAACTAAGGGCTAAAGAATAAAACGGAATTTAGTTAATCTTTCCAAGTGTGGTGCTCAAATTCTGGTCTTCCAAAGTGAGCCAGGAACATTCATCACAACTTTAACACTATTAGGAAGCTGACTTGCAGATACTTGCCTAACTAAACAAAGATTGAGGTACAATATTAATATTAACCCACATTTGTCAAGTGCTTGCTTTGGGCCAGGCACTGTTCTAAGAGCTTTACATGAATTAACTTGAGGAATTCTCAAAAGAACCCTGTGAAGCAAGTACTATTATTATCCTCATTTGACAGAAGAGGAAAGAGGCACAGAGAGGTTAAGTGACTTGCCATAAGGTCACAGAGCTGGGATTAAGTCCAGCAGAGCAAATATTCTTAATCACTCCGCATTATTACTTCCATATGGAGGTCTTTTCCAGTCTTCCATGGAACAGGGAAAAATTGGGAGTCCACAATACAGGAATGCCACATAGTTTACCCATCCCTGCAGAAGAATACTATGTAGTCAGGAAAAAGCAAGAGGCAGCTGTGTATGTTCTGCATGAAATGATGGCCACAATAGACTGTTGGATAGAGAGAGCTGCACAACAGTATTTGTATCATATAATCCTATTATATAAAAAGAAAATGAAAACGTTCACTTACTTGTTTGTAGGTTCATACGTAAATGTCTAGAAGGATAAACACCAAACTATTCACACTGGACACGGGGAAATTGTGAAAGAGGGGAGCTTCCATTTTTGTCTTTTTATTCTCTGCTGTTTGAAATGTTTACCATTAGTATGTTTTATTTTGTCATTAACAGAAAGAGGAAGAACATAAGTGTGCATGAGTCGGGAGCCTGACGAACTCTGTCCCGCCCTCCAGCTCTTGTCAGAGTCCTCTCTGGTGTCTCCCACTGACCCTGGAATCATAGGCCCCAAATCCTATTTCCCCTCCACAAGCACTTCCCCAAACTCCCTCTGCTCCCTGAGGGCTTGGCTTGGCCTGGGTCTCTCATCTGGGTCCAGGCATCTACGCAGGTTCCCTGGCTAGGAGGCTGTCATCCTCTGCCTGTACCACCCACCCCAGGGATGTCTGATGTGGTGACATCACAGTTGGGCTAATGACATCATAGTGGACCCGGAGGCTGACAGGACAGAAGACCTGGCAGGGCTCAGGAGATGGGAGCAAGGAAGGGATTGGCAGGTAGAGGCTGTTTAGGGCGGGAACTTGAGGGACTGTGTCCTCAGCCTGCCTCCCAGGACATTCCTAGCTGGGCCTTTCAGGGATTGGAGATCCAGAAATCTCCAAGACCACTTCCCTTTTTGTTTCTAATCAAGAGGTTGTCCAGACTTTTTTGAGAGTTGGGAGCAGAGTGTGATGCCAGGAGGGGTTGGAATTGGCAGGTGGGAGATGAAGCCAACTGTGTGTGTGACTCCTCCTCGGGAGATGAGACTGGGGCCTTCTGTGGGTGCCCCCCTGTGATTCCAGCACGGTGGTAGGGGAGGCAGGCTTGTGGCCTTGGAGGCTGGGAGGGCTCCAGCTTTGGGCGCATGGAGTTTGGGTGGATCAAGACTGCAAGGGGTGCTGCAAGCTCTTCCATGAATTTGGGAAAGGCAGGAAGCTGTTTGTACATGTAACTAACCACTCAGATCCTTGGCTCTTCCAGCCTGAATCCTGTTGCTTCATCTTCTGTTCTGGGCATATATTATGCAGGATTCTTTGTTTAAGCTATAGAAACCCTTTCAGGAGGATTTAGGAAAAGTAAGTCCATTTCGGGGTACCTGGGTGGCTCAGTCGTTAAGCGTCTGCCTTCGGCTCAGGTCATGATCCCAGAGTCCTGGGGTCGAGCCCTGAATCGGGCTCCCTCCTCCGCGGGAAGCCTGCTTCTCCCTCTCTCACTTCCCCTGCTTGTGTTCCCTCTCTCGCTGTGTCTCTCTGTCAAATAAATAAAATCTTTAAAAAAAAAAAAAAGAAAGAAAGAAAAGTAAGTCTGTTTAAAAATTATTGAGGAAACTCCCGGAATGTCTGGAAAGGCTGCAGAGGCAGGCCTGGAGAACAGGCTGGATCAGGGGGAGCTGGGAGCCCACCACACGCCTCAGGACCAGTCCCGAGAGGATTCTACCACCTCCTCTGAACTGTTTGAAATGTTTACTTTCTCTCCTCTGCTGCCCTGGAAGCTGATGTGGCATCATGTGCAGAGTGGAGTCTCCACGGACCTGCCACTTCAGGGCCACTGACTTCTGATCCTGTCTGGATAGGGGTATCCAATTGGCCCAGTCGATGCCATATGTCTGCATCATGTGCTGGGATAGGGAGGTCGGAATTAAGTGTGTGGCCATTGTGGCTTTTATTTTTATTATTTTTTTAAAGATTTTATTTTATTTTTTTTTGGCTTTTATAGTGGGAGGTGCCTTCTGCTTCCCTCTAGACTCATGTGGGGGGAAGCTCCACAAGCTGGGCATCCAGAAAACCCAACAGATGTCTGCACAGGAAACAAAAATGAGTAGACAGGGGTCCCTGTCCTTGAGACACTCCCAGACATGCAGGAGTCAGTTATGTGGGAAGATAATTATGATAGGAAGTGAAGGCGGCCACAGTGGAGGTGATCAGCAGCCAGGGGTGGGGCTGGCAGAGAAACACCGATAACATGGCCCTGGCCCATGTCGGAGAGTCCAAGATGTCCCTGTGTGCTCCAGGCCACCTAGATGGAATAGCTGGGTGGAGTCTGATGACTAGTTGGGGCTGTCACACTGGGCCAGACACTGTGTGACACAGACGCACACCGACTGGGCAGAATTCGAGTCTCCAGAAATGATGCACCTTTTCTTGCTCACAGAAGTAACGAAATTGCTTGGCCTAAAAAGCTGCTTCCTGGGGCGCCTGGGTGGCTCAGTCGTTAAGCGTCTGCCTTCGGCTCAGGTCATGATCCCAGGGTCCTGGGATCGAGTCCCACATCGGGCTCCTTGCTCCGCGGGAAGCCTCCTTCTCCCTCTCCCACTCCCCCTGCTTGTGTTCCCTCTCAGGCTGTGTCTCTCTCTGTCAAATAAATAAATAAATTCTTTAAAAAAAAAAAAAAGCTGCTTCCTGGCTAATGGAGCTTCTCTTTTGATATCTCGTCATGCCCTACAAGCATTTTGCAATGTCCTTGAAGTACCCCTTGTCCCTGCTGGGGCCTCAACGCTGTATCTGGATTAGAGAAAGGGATTCTCGGGATAGGCAGACCAGAGTTGGGACGAGAAAGAGGAAGGTGTATTTGCTGCCTCGTGGGCTTCTGCTCTGTGAGACCAGATTCCTACTCTCTTCTCTGCTTCACCCCATGTCCTTCTGTGTTGCCTGCTCTGTGTCTGTGCCCGTTCCTGTCCCCGCGTCACCATCACTGTCTTTGCTGTCATCATCCCTGCCTGTCTCTATCTCGGCTGGGCCCCCATCTCCAGAGGGACCCCAGCTCCAGCCTTTCAGCCCTGCTCTGTCCCTCTTGGACTCAGCCATCTGGGTTCTCTGAGAACCAGACACAGCAACCCCCACCCCACCCCACCTCCACACACTGACATTCCAGTAGCCCTGGTTCATGGTGGTCCAAAATCAGCACATTGTCCTGTGGAGTTGTCACAGGTGGGTTAGGGCTGGTGGGCGGCTCCCTCTCATCAGGTCTTGCAGGGCTCCCTGCCTGCCTGTCTATCCCCTTCTTCCTATTTGAAGTGGCAACTTCAAATGTAACACCTTCCTGTCATCTCTCACACTCACTGGGGCCCCAGCCACAGCGGCTGCCCACCTGCCCACCTCTTTGCATCCTCCAGAAGGAAGCTGTGCAGAGCCCGGTGAAGAGCCTCATGCAGGCAGGTGAAGGGCCTCTGCTGGGCAGGGCTGGGAGGAGTCAGGGAAGAGAAAAAAGAGACCGGGTTTTGCAAGGCCAAGATGCTTGAGTGAATGTGCTAGGGCCCCAGGGGCGCTTGAGAAGGAGAGACGCATGGCTCCTGAGGAGAACGGGAAGGAACCTTGGGGCACTTGGTTGAGCTGAGGTGGTCCCTGTGTTGTGCGGCTTTCAGTGAAAGAAGGCGGAGAAGCGGGATGCTAACTGAGCAGACAGCAGAGGAATCAGGGCATTTTCCCGTCAGGCAAGTCAGGGGACCCGGAGGGTTCTTGGCCTAGTCTCTCAGACTGTCCCTGGTGAGGGAGCTGAGCCTGGGCAGTCTGGGAGGCAGGACCCTAGGGCTTCCTCAGCTGCCCAGAAAAGCTGTGTGGATGATCGAGGGTGCAGGGGCACCCCTTGATGGGTGGGCTGTGGTTGGCAGAGTCAAGGAGGCAGAAGTCCCTCCCAGCATGGAAGGGAGCGGCTTCTCAATTCCTGGTGTCCTCCAGGAAATCTGGAATGTTCCTTCAGGTCTCTGAGTTCACTTAGAAGTAACCTCCATGAGGACCTTCCTCTCTTTCCTCTTCCCTAGGGATGACTCCATTCAATCCTCTTCTGCCACCTACCCAGAGAGCATCACTGGCCTCTAAATGTCAGTACTGAGTCCTTACACATCAGCCTGTCCAGCCCTCATGTTTTGAAGATAGGGTAACTGAGGCCAGGAGGGGCAGTGACTGGCTCAAGGTCACATGATGGTTTAGTGGAAGGGCCTTCTCTAGAAGCCAGGCTCCTATTTGGAGGTCCTTCACTGCTCACCGGTGACTGACCTGTCTTCCCAGGTAGTAGGGGCATGAAGGGGGAATCTGCTCCAGACTTGAATTGTTGCCACAAGGCTAAGGCTCTGAGGAGTGCAGGGGGCTTCCTGTCCTGCAGCCTGGACTTCCAGCTCTGCCAAGGTGACCAGGTAAGGAGGGATCCCAGCCCCATCTTTGAGGTCAGTCCGATTATGGAAGGGAGAGGATGTCAGGATGAAGTGGGGGAAAATATTTAGGGACCAGATTCCCATTGTCCCCTGGTCCTGAGCATCCCTATCCCACCCAGCACTTTGTGGGGATGTGCCCTTGAGGTGCCAGAGACCCTCTCTCATGCCCCAGGGGTCAGAGTCCTCCTGTGGGGCATCAGAAGGGATAGGGCCTGTAGGACGCCTTGGCTCCATGACCATGGCCTGGGCCTTAGCGGGAGGGGAACCCAGGGCTATCTTGGGGGGCTTATAGTCTTTGATGAGGATTTTCTCCGAGTTCATCTTGGCTCCATTCAAAACACAGTTGATGGTCTGAGACCCAGTGGGACCAGGGCAGTCAGGAAGGGAGGGTGGGTGAGGGGTTCTGGAGGGTAGGAGGAGGGCAATCCTGGGATGGGCATGAAAGTTCCTGAGGAAAGAAATTTGTGGCTGAGGGATGGGGAAGCCATTTGAGTGGCAGACGTGGAGGGCAGCTCTTAGCTTCTCCTCTCCTTTTGGAAATCAAACCGGAGCTAGGACCAACCCAGGGACACAGGTGCCCCAGCCTCCCACCCCCAAGCCCCTTGCCTCCTGCCCTCCAGGTCTTCTCAGCTTGGACGCCACTCTCCGACACAGTGGACGCCCGTGGCTCATCCTGTCCCAGCTGGCTGCACCCCTTGCCCCTGGCACCAGCCAGGTCTGCCTCGCTGACCTGTCCCCAGGGCCTCGGCCTATATCTGCGCACCCTGCAGCCGACACCCCTGAGCACAGCCCCGCAGAGTCTCAGATGCGATGTCTTGAGCACAAGTAAGCCCAGGGCAGAGGGCTGCACCTGGACGGAGGCGGGAGGCGGGAGAGGACTCTTAGGTTCCAGGACAGGAAAGGGAAGGGACCAGTGCCACCGGTGAGAACAGAGCCTCACATTTTGGCCTGGAGTCCGGGCCTTGGTCCGGGGTGGGTGGGTGGGTGGGGTTTCAGGGCGAGCCCTGAGCCACAGGAGGTGGACAGGGGCTTTCTCGGGCAGGGAGATCTGGAGTAGGTGTAGCCAAAGTCCCGGGCATTGAAGATGGTGCTTTGGCTGCCTAGAATGTGTGAGCTGGAGGGGTCCTTATAAGATAGGGGTGCTGACTGGGAGCCAGCGAGCGGAGGGCGGAGTCCTGGTTGTGCTCTTTCTGGCTCTGCGACTTCGGCCACATCACTGAGGCCCGTTTCTTCTTCCAGGTGAGTAGGATCTGTTCTAGATTTGTTGCTTTGTAATGCACCGTTTCCTTACACGCTTGTGGCCTCCTGGAGGGCGGGAACTATGTGGCCATGTCAGCACGGAGCGCAGAGTGAAGCGGTTCAGTGAGGTTGGCGGAGTGAATAAATGAGGATTCAAGCAGACAGTCTACTTTGTGGCATTTTTTTCTTTTTAGTATCTCACTTTACGTGCCTCCTGGCTTATCTCCCCCCTCCCTGGCTGTTGCATCTCCACCTCCCTTGCTAGTTCTTCTCTACTTACCTCCTAAATATCCCCACGCTCTGAACTCAGTCCAGAGCCTTCTTCCCTCCCCTCCCCTGCTTTGGTCTCCTCTCTCCTCTGCTTTCCCTCCTCTCCTCTCTTGTCCACTTCAGGGAGTGTGGCACAGTCTGATAGAACTTCCTGCAATCAGGGTCACCGTCCATGCTTGTGCTCTTTGCTGCCATACCTACCGAGCCTTTTGAATGTGGCTAGTGTGAGTGAGGAGCTGAATTTTTTATTGTACTTATTTTAATTAATTGAAATGGGATCACATGTGTCAAGTGACCACCAATTTTGGACACAGCAGATCTAGCTCACCCTTAGGTGGTCTCATCAGGCAGGGCTCCTGGCACCGAAATGTATGTCTTCAGCTTGGACGTCTCCTTTAAACTCCAAACCAACCAACCAAACAACCAATCAACCAAACTCCAAACCAATTCATCCAGCTGCTTACTTGACTTTTCCACCTGGGTGTCTAAAAAGCTTCTCGAATCATTTTCTCTCTCTAAAACTGTTGAGCGCTGCATAAACTCTAGCTGCTTTTGTCGGCAAGTGCAGACCAGGGAGGCTCAGAGAGGGACAACGCCTGCCCGGGTCATCCAGCAGGCTTGCAGGCTAGAGCACTCCCCCACCCCGAGCTAGCTAGCGGCCCAGTTTGATGGGGAGCAGAACTTTCCCCCAGGCTGCAGGGCCCTGACCAGTATTTCTTTTCCTGCTCAGAGCACCAGCCACCAGGGCTGCAGGCCGGCTCCACTGATGAGAAACTCACGGCCAAGTACCCTGCGAGCAGGGACAAGAGGGGAAGCCATCAGGAAAGAGCCGGCGAGGGGGCCCTCTGCCCATCGTTCTCTCCTCACAGTGGCTCTTCCCCAACCCCCTGCTCCTGCCCGCTGCCCACTCCCATCTCCAAGGAACTCCCATTCTGCCTCCACTCCTTCTATCCTGAGTATCCACTTCTGCCTCCACCTCACCTGTTCACCTATGGGGCCCTACCTTCTGTCCAATATCCCCTCATCTTCATGCTGCCCCCAGACCCTTCCTACCCCAACAAGGCTATGCCCAGCTTGCTGATGAGTGTCAATGAACCTGGGCACCCTACTGCTCAGAGGGAGACACTGTATCCTTACCCAGGGGCCCCCCAAGCCTCTGGCCAAAGCCAACCTTCCCAGGCCTGGAGTCAAGGTCCTGGAGCTGCCAGGACCCACTCCCCAGGGCCAAAGAGCGCGGGCAGGGCGGCTTCAGCAAGGCGGGCGCCCACGGGCTCCCGGCCAGGCACCACAGCTCTGCCTTACCCACTGAAGAAAGAGAACGGCAAGATCCTGTATGAGTGCAACGTGTGCAGCAAGAGCTTCGGACAGCTCTCCAACCTCAAGGTATCTGCCTCCCAGGCTCCGCTGCTCCCCTCAGCATCCTTCCATGACCCCCTCCTACCCTGCTTCCAGAATCAAGGACTTGAAAGCTGGAACAACTCCTGGGCAACCCCTAGGCTGTGATCTGGGATGGTTCACTTGGCCCCTCACTGTCATGTTTGCAGAGAGGAGATGCAGGACAAGATGGCCACCAAAGTCCTCTCCACCCTAAGAGACTGTCTCTGAGGGCATCTCATTTCAGTCAAAAATGGGGAAACTGAAGGAAAGGTTTGCCCGAGGTCACTTTGGTTTCATGGTGAAGTTAGGCCTTGATGGTAGCCTCTCCGTGTCGAGTGCAAAGCCCTTTCCCAAACAACCATCTTTCTAGATCCCCGGTTAAGCCTCCTCTTCCTTATTTGTTTGAAGGTCCAGTGGGGGAGCGGGTAGATTTTAGTGAGTCTCGGTCACAGACCTGACAATGAGCCTTTTTCACGTGGGATCCTACAAAGCAGCATGTTGCTCTTGGTGTCACCATCCACACTGCCCAGCAGGAGCACCCGGGCCCATCGCTCTGTGTCAGCAAAGATGGGGATCTATGCATGTGTTGGCAACACTGAAGTTGAGGAAAAGTTATGGTTGTTGAGGAACGGCCCTTCGGGGTCCTCCAGGGTGTGAGTTCTTAAGCTTTAATGAGATTCAAACCTGGAGAGCTAGGAAACATGCAGATTCCTAGGTCCCTGCCCCAGAGATTTTGATTCAGCTGGTCTGGGGCAGGGCCTGAGAATTTGCATTTTTCACTTGCTCCCAGGTGGTGCTGATGCTGCTGGTCTGTGGACCACACTTTTTTTTAAAGATTATTTATTTTAGGGGGCACCTGGGTGGCTCAGTTGGTTAAGCGTCTGCCTTCGGCTCAAGTCATGATCCTGGGGTCCTGGGACGAAGCCCGGCATTGGGGGGGTGTCCCTCTTCAGCAGGGAGCCTGCTTCTCCATCTCCTTCTACCTCTTCCCTCTGCTCATGCTCGTTCTCTCTCAAATAAATAAATGTGTGTTTTTTTTAAGATTATTTATTTTAGAGACAGAGTGAGAGAGAGCAGGGGGAAGGGGCAGAGGGAGAGGGAGAGAGAGTCCACGCCAACTCCGAGCTAAGCATGGAGCCCGACACGGGGCTTGATCTCACGACCGTGAGATCACAACCCTGAGATCACGACCTGAGCTGAAGCCAAGAGTTGGTCGCTTAACCGACTGAGCCACCCAGGCGCCCCTGTGGACCACACTTTGCGCTGCACTGCTCAGGATATATATACGTGGGCCATCCCTTACCTAGCCTTCTGACCACCGTCACCTCCCCTCCCACGGGGCACCAGAAAGAGTGAGGGTAACTTGGAGAATGGAAGAGAGGCCCTGAGGGCAGTGATAGGGTAGCAAGGGGATTGAGAATCCTTGATGTGAAACAGGGGTCCTGTGGGATTGTGGGGAGAGATTTGGACAGGATCCCAGGGCCTGCTGGAGGGTTCTGGGCAGGTGGCAGCCTTTCTCCCACACCTGGCTCAGGTCCATCTGCGTGTGCACAGTGGGGAGCGCCCATTCCAGTGTGCCCTGTGCCAGAAGAGCTTCACCCAGCTCGCCCACCTGCAGAAGCACCACTTAGTGCATACTGGGGAGCGGCCCCATGAATGCCTGGTGAGAGCCTACTTCCCCTCCCCCGTACTCCTGCAGGCTGGTGAGTAGTTCCAGGCACCTGGACAGATGGCCCCTGTAGCCTCCATTCACCAATGCTCCTGAGCAAGTGCAGACAGGACTGGAGGCAAGGGTGGAGGCGGGGAGGGAGGTGGAGGGAGGTAAAAATGACCCATCAGCCTGGAAGGGCCAGAATGTGAGACTGGAGGTCCCTCCCTAGGCCTGGGGTGAGGAACAGAGATGTATGTCTACGGGAGGAGAATAATAAAGCTGGGGAGTCCTGGAGAGTGGATACCCGTAACCTACTTCCCAGGGTTGCTGGAGAAGTAAAGGGCCTCGCGTGTGCAAAGTACGCAAACACTACAGATAACACAGCTCGATGTTAGCTCCTTCTCTCTTTGAGTCTTGCTACATCCCTTGGGAGGTCAGAACAGCAGGAATTCTTTCCCCAGTTTACAGAGGCAGACGTGAAAGAAGCATCGCGGTTCTAAGTCTGGGCTACTTGGGTTCAAATCCTAGTTCTCCCTCCAACTTGTGTGATCTTTGGCTAGTGGCTCTCCTCCTCTGAGCCTCTGCTTTCTCACTGTAATAGAGGAATTATACTAGGACTTAGCCCTGCTTCTCCAGGGTCCCGGGGAAGACTCTGTGAGACCAATTCCTGGCATGCAGCAGCTCCCAGTAAATGTTAATTACGCCCACGAAAGCTGTAGGCCCATGCTTAAGGGTCCTATGTGATGATCTCATCCAGTCCGTCACACCTCTGAGGTTAGGTATTAATGGTCACATGTTACCAATAAGGAGAACGAGGCTCGGGCAGGAGATGGTACCTATGCAAGTCACACAGGGAGTAAGAACTGGGATAGTAACCCAGGTCTCCGAGTCCCAGGGTGAAATCATCAGGGGAAATCTTCCAGGCCAGTGTTACAGGCAGGTGGTGTGGGGGGAGGGGTGCCCAGCGTCGGCGGGTGGAGCAGAGATCCTGAGCCAGCCAGGTGGGCGGAGCTGACACCAGTGCCCATTCCCACCAGATGTGCCACAGACGCTTCGGCAACTCCAGCAACCTCAAGACCCACCTGCGCCTGCACTCGGGGGCCCGGCCCTTCTGGTGCAGTGTCTGTCCCCGGCGCTTCGCCCAGCGTGTTCACCTGAAGCTGCACGACCGCCTGCACAGCCTTGTGGCCTAGCTCACAGCCACCTGCCCCTGGCGTCTCTTGCCTGCCTTGCCCAATGGCACCAGGAAGCCCTAGATCTTGTGGCGCTGCCATCAGAGAGGCAGACGGGCTGGGGTTTGGAAAAGGTCAAGGTGTCCTTGGCATCTGGGGGAAAGTATGGGCAGCCAGCCTGAGCCCTGGTGCCAGGACGGCCCCGGGGAGGGGGCAGGAGCAGAGTAATTAAAGGATTTTCTCTATGGCGAGTTGAGGCCTCCCGGACTTCAGCAGTGGCGGGGGAGAGGGGAGGGAGGAAGCAACTGTGTATCTGTCAGTCTTCACACCTCACCTGGAAGCAGGTCAGAGAACACAGCCAGGGAGAGCCTGTGATGCCCGCTCACGGGGTGGGTGCTTGCAGCCATCCACATCAGCTGGATTTGGGTCCTTCTCCGTGTCTGGGACTTGGCCCTCCCATCTCAGCTTGCCAATGGATAGTCCAGCCTTCCAGGGCTCCGCATGGCACAGACTGTGCTGCCAAGCACTGGGCACACTGCTCTCTTTCCTGAGCAGATGTTCCAGCACCTGCCCAGATGTATGTCTGCTGCTTCCCACCACCTTCCTGTCTCACAGCTCCTAGGAAGCCAGTGTGCCTCCTTAGCTGGTACTCCCTGCCATGGTCAGGTAGGTGGGGTGTGCTTCTCCCTCTGTACATGCCAGGATCTGAGCCCCCCGTGGGGGTGGAGGGGCAGGAACACAAGGAGGTCAATGTCCATTCATGACCCAGAAACACGAGGTCGTCCTGTGTGCCAGGACCACTCACCACAGAAGGCAAAGGGCTAAGGAGGTACGAGTCCACAGAAGGTGTAGAGGCCCTACAAGGAGTATAAGGGAAGAACTGGCAAAGAGAACCTGAGGAACTAGGACCCTCCTAGTGACCTTTCTCCCTGCAGTCCCAGAGGATCCCCTCAGATGTGCAAGGTATTCTGCACCCCCGGGGGACTCGGGAGTTAGCATCAGGTGGGAAAGGGTACTTACTGCCTGGGAAGCAGGAGAGCCAGGTTATAATCACAATAAACAGTAGCCATTATTAAATAATAATAGCTGGCCGGGGCGCCTGGGTGGCTCAGTTGGTTAAGCGACTGCCTTCAGCTCAGGTCACGATCCTGGAGTCCCAGAATCGAGCCCCGCATCCGGCTCCCTGCTCAGCAGGGAGTCTCCTTCTCCCTCTGACCCTCCTCCCTCTCATGCTCTGTCTCTCATTCTCTCTCTCAAATAAATAAATAAAAATTTTAAAAAATAATACAAAATAAAATTCTTAAATAATAATAGCTGGCCAACTTCCAGCAGGGGCCTCCATTCGCGGCCCCAGGGGTTTGAAAGCGACTTCCCCACCCGGGGACTGGGCGAGCTTCGCGCTGTGTCGGACGCTCTGCAGGAGCGCGCGAGAACTCTCAGGAGCCCACCGCGGCGGGGCAACGGCGGGGTCGGCTTCGGCCTCGCTCATCCCCTAATCAAGGTCCGGGTTTAAAGCCCACCCCGTCACCCCTTTGGCCCTGCGCCAGAGGCCAACCCCTCGGGCTAGGCCCCATCCACTCGACAAGACCATGCCCCCTCCCGTCTCGACCTCGCCCCCGCGTTCTAGCCCCTCCTTCTCGGGGGGAGAGACGACCGTCGTTCAGCCCCGCGTCCGGCCCCCGCTCGCCCGAGTTTCCCCTTTCCTGCCCACCTCGTGCAAGGCCAGCTTGGGGGCCGCTCGCCCCCGGTGTGCCCCTGGAGCCTCCCGAGACCTAAGGAAGTAGCGCGGACCGTGCGGAGAGCACGGCAAGAGCGGGGAGGAGAAGTGGGGCACAGGCGGAGCGACCCCTGCAGAACGCACCCCGTGTCTTGGGGCAAGGGCCGCCTCTGGGTCAGTCCCCCGCCCGCACGGAGTGCGGGCGGGGCCGCTGTTTGTTCAAGGGGGCGGGCCGGAGAAGGCGTTTCTCTGCTGAGGAGCGGATCCGGGTGGCCCCCGTGGCCCCCGAGCGCTGTGGTGCCCGGGAGCCCGGAGCCTTGCCCTGGCCATGGCCGAGCGGCACGGGAGTCTGGGGGCGCGCCTGGCCCGCGGCTTGGCCAGGCTGGGGCTCCGGAGGGAGCGCCGGGGGAAGCGGACCCCGGAGGAGGCCAGAGCCCGGGATAGGTGAGGGGGATGGAGGAGGGCTGCAGGGGCGCCCCTAGGGGTGTGTGTGTGTGTGTGTGTGTGTGTGTGTGTGTTAGAGGGTAGTGGATGTTCAAATAAGCGTGTATGAGTGTCTGAGAGCATAAAAATATACGTGTCAGTGTACTACGATTTTGGATATATGAATGTGAACATGGTCTTTAGAAAATACCTGCGCTCTTTTGAAACTTTGGCAATTCCCGAAGTCAGGCGACGGCCCGTGGATAATGATTTCCTCTCCAGAGCCAGTTTAAGGGCAAACGTAGGAGCTCCCCCTGCCCCTGTGGACTTTGTCACGTCACAGGCCAGTTTCCCTCTGGTCTGCATTCCCTTTGTCCTGAGCACGACAGGCACCTGAGTTGTCGGCGACGGCGCTGCGTTTGCCCTCAGATGCCACGGGGACGGTTTCCCCTGTCATCCCAGACTGTAGTAACAATAAACCTTTATGTGCCTCTTGCATCCTGCCTTACCTGGATTATCTCATTTAATCCGCACAGCAGCTCCATGAGGCAGGTAGTTCATGTGGTTCAGATGTGGAAACGGAGGCTCAGACAGGTGAAATCACCTGCCTGGTCACACAGCAGGGAAGTGGTGGGGGCGGGGTTAGAGCTTAAGCAGTCCGACTCCAGAGCCCGTGTCCTGAAGCGCTGGGCTGCTCTCTTGCCTGGGGAGATTTCAGGACTGCAAGCCAGGGGGCCAGACTTCCGTCCTAACCCTAGGTGCCACTGGCCTGGTCACCTTGAACAAATTGCTTCCTCTCTCTGAGCCCACTCATTGATAGCTACTGTCTAAGTGGAAGGAAAAAGGCTCTGGATGGCAAAGCTGAATGGCTGGGAGGGATAGTGAAGAGGCCCCCAGTGGCTCACGGGCCCTGTATCTGAAAAGAGCGTGGAATGTGCTCCCAGGCACCAGGTGTTGTGTATCTGTTAGTTACCAGGCAATTTGTTCTGATCTTATCATGACACAGCTGTCTTTAGCAGCCCTGGGAGAGGTGGGGTACCTGAGGACTGGGCGGGTGCAGAGGGAGAGGAGGGGTTTGTGCTGCTCTCTCACACCGAAGAGGGAGGGGAGGGGAGGGCCTAGCCACCCTGGAAAGCCTGGAAGCCTGGGTGCCCCAGGGGGTACCCACACCCTGCCACTGCCCTGCCCGCCCCCACCTGGAAGCCACGCCCTCTCCCATTACCTGGTCTGGCAGGAACCTGCCCTATAGGCCCCCGGTGGCACTGCCCCTCCCTTTCCCCACTTGAGAGGAGGCAAGGTTGGCATGCTGGTGAGTCAGGGGTTGGGAGGACAGGGGAGGGACTGTGCATGCTCATGGGTCAGCGTGATGATACATCCCATGCGTGCACTTGTACTCAGTTCTCACCAGATGTGGTAATGGGACTCCAGCACTAAGGCCCAGGCCTCTCTGAGCCCTGCTGATTGCCCCTGGGCAGGGGCAGGGTGGGGGGCGGCAGGCAGTCAAGGCACTTTTCCCCATCTTGCCCCCATTAGTGCCATGATGTCCAACCAGCCTTTGGAATGGGACAGTCCTAGTGTCCTAACTCCCAGGCTCACCAGCTGTGTGACTCCAGGCAAGTCACTTCACCTTTCTGGGCCTCAGTTTCCTTATCTGAAAAATAGGGACATAATATCCACCTTCTAGGATTATTGTGAGGCTTGAAGGAGATCACGTGAGCGCCATACCTAAGGCTAAGCCTGGCGCTGGGAGGGCCTCAGCAAATGGCAGGCTTTGGAATTATTGAGGTGCTGTCCTTTTTGTATATTCTGGTCCTGCTACAGACCTAGTCCCCACTCTTGTCTCAAGCTCATCTCCTGTCTCTTTCTCTCTTTTGGGGAGTAGATAGCTGGGGGAGGGAGCAGAAGGGAGGCTGCTGCGTAGACCTTGCCCCACCCACTCCTAAGGTTTCAGGAGCTCATCCTGCCTGTGTGCCCTGAGAGAAGTAGGGGAGGGCCCCAGGGTCCAGTCTGAGGGTGGGAGGGGAAGAGGCTACTTCACTCCTTTCCCTGTGCTTCCTTCCTAGGCCCTGGGGTGGCCGGAGCTGCCCTGACCTAACCCAGGGCCTGGGCAGCACCAGCAACGTCAGCCTCAAGGTAAGAGAGAATCCGAAGTGGTGGGAGGGGAGGGAGGGGGGTCAGAAGCTCTGGGAGGGGCTGGGCCAGCCCTGAGAACCCTGACTTAACAAGTCAGGCACCTGGAGCTCTCTAATCCTCCCTCTGCCACTGATTCACTGTGTGACCCTGTGGAGATCACTCCCCACTTCAGTTTCCCTATCTGAAAAATAGGGACAAGAATGCCGCTCAGAGTTGTTGTGAAAAAGAAAGTCATGGGTGTAGGACATCCAGCAAGGGACCTAGATGCTCTGGAAGCCTGAGCTTCCTACTCAGTGCCTGTGCCCAGGAGGCCCCTTTCTGCACTCCCTCCTTTAGCTTGACCTTGTCTCCTCTCCGGCCCCCTTTCCCCACTTCCTGGCACGGAGCCCCAGGGGTGAAGCTGGGCGGTGGTTTAACCTTCTGGCCACAGTTTTCCCATCTTCAGTGGGGACCTGAGCCATGGCTTGAACAGTAACAGGGTGTCCTCCCTTTGGAGGAGCAGAAGCCCTCCTCTGGCGGTCCTTCAAGCAGCCATGTGTCTGTGGTCCCGAATACCATTAGTAATTACTCGCATTTAATTGAGTACTCATTATGTGCTGGTTACTCTGCACGGCTTATCTCATACCGTCTTCGCAGCACTCCCAGGAAGCAGGTGCTGTTATTATCATACCCATTTTACACACGAGGAAACTGAGACTGTGGCTGGGAGGTAGCAGAGCTGCGATTTGAGCCTGGGTTGCCTGGCTCAAGGCCCCCACATTAATCATGGTGCCCTCCTGTCTCTTGAGGTATTTAGCCCCTGGGAGCAAGAGGCTGTACCTATTTCACAGATGGGTAAATCGAGGTATTTGGGATCAAGGGCCCCTGCTAGGAGGACTTTTGACCCCAGACTTGGCTCCTCTGTTGCCAAGGACACAAGCCTGTCCCTGAAAATTAGTGGTTTGGGAGCAGTGTCCATATGGCCCTCTCCCCTCACTCCCACAGCCAGGCTGGGCCCCAGGGGAAGATAGCAGATGGAGGTAGGTTTGTCCCACTTTCAGGGGAACCCTCTTCCCTGGATCCCTCATGGCCCAGGTATATCTTTATGCCCAGGTGCCTCCCAGGTGTGCTTGGGACTCTCAGGCTGCTAGAGTACGGGGGTCGGGGGACGGGGTTGGGGGGGGCGTTGGCTACAAGCCCTCTGGAAGCCTAGAGTCAGCAGAGGCCATAGACACTCGTACCAGGCACGTCCATGCAGCCCCTAATCCCCAGAGAAGCTGCTGCCAAAGGGCCAGAGGCCTGTGGATGCCTGGGAAGGTGGCAGTTGGCCTGAGAGTTGAGCCCTCACTTAGTGACTTTAGTCAAGTCAGTGTCCCCTCTGGGCCTCACTTCCCTCATATGCAGAACGGAAGGGGGTAAGTGAAATGCTGAGCGCCTTCCCAGAGCTCTACCCTTTGTCCAGTTCTCGTGGCCCTTAGGGCAGCTCTGCTTGGTGTCAGAGTCCTGTTCAGCTTCTCCTGTGCCCAGGAGGGCAGTCAAGGGTGAGGGGGGAGCTTGGAGGGTAGGGAGAAGTGCCGTCACCAGTCCCCTGCCTCTGCTTTCCCTTAGGCCCAGTCCCACAGCTGCTCAGAATGGGACCTTCGGGCAGGGAGCCGTGGTTCCTGGCTTCGGAGGAGACGACACAGCTCAGGGGAGCCCCCTCAGCCCCTGGGGCGCCTACAGAGGCCAGCTGTGGGCAGTGCTTCTGACCTGGCCAACTATGCCTCCGTGGGACTGGAGAGCCCCTCAGGCCCGGTGCCAGCTCCTGGAAGTTTGGAGCAAGGAACCCCAGGCTGCGCTTGCCCGCG